GACAGCGTGTAATATTAGAATATTTAGAGAATTATGACCACTTAGAAAATCATTCAAACTGTTCAGTTGCTCTGTAGTCAAGGTTCTCACAGACAGAAGCATTAGCATGTCATGCCTCCAGTCAGAGTCATGGGAGTCACATAGTTTCCCTATGCTGGACGCTAAGGCAACCTACAGACTCAATCTGATTTTAAAAAGTCTAGGTCATCAATTATCCTCTAGCACAAGGGTCCTGCATCTTTTTGTGTCCCTGATTTTACTGGTTGAGTCAGAGGCTTACAGAAAAGGAGTTAATATATTTCATTTGGACCTAGATTTCAGCCGAACCTTTCCAAATTGTTAAGGTAGCTCTTCTGTCCAATACTGGCTCTACTGTCGTGTAAAATTCGGAATGGCATCTGGTGCTAAGAAATGACACATAACACTATGTCAGCCATCCATTCTCCATCACCATTATCAGCAGTTTCCTGTTACTGCTCCCACTTAATTTCACTTCAAGAATTATAACTACATGCATACCAGAAAGAGTGGGGTAGATAAATTTATTGAAGTACCATTGTTAAGTGTTTAGTGTAGAGGGCATTTGCTGGCTAAGGTGATAGCTAACAAGATTGGAACATGCTGAACTGCAACTAAACAAGTTGAACATGTATTCCATCATTACCTTCCAATGCCCAGGTGGCTTCTGGGACCACGCTGTTTAGTGTGGAAGCCAATAGGCAGGGATATTCAATGCCATGCTTGTCTGGTCTCTTGGCAGAGGGGACTGGTCTAAAGCTTTAGGATTAAGTGGGTAAGTTTGGAATCCTATTCCTTGATTGGGGTCTTCCCTCTAGGGGAATTCTGAACTCTTGTCACTCACACACTCACACACACTCCTGACTCACACAGAGTCAGGATAGTGTTGGATTTGGGAAGGAAGTAAAGAAATTTGGATTGTTGTAGTCTGCTTTGAAAGAAACTGAAGGGATTTATTCTGCCCATTGACTTAAGTATTTATTGCTTCCTCTACCTGCTTGTCACTCTGTTAGATACTGAGGATAGAGTGAAAGGCTTTGGGCCCCCTCAGGGAGCTTACTGTCTAGAAGATGAGTTGGGCTTTAATCAAACAATTACACAAATAGTAATGATTGTATCTGGGTCGAGAAGATCCCTGGAGAAGGAAATGGCAACCCACTCCAGTATTCTTGCCTGGAACATCCCATGGACAGAGGAGCCTGGTGGGCTACAGTACATGGGGTCTCAAGAGTTGTACACAACTGAGTGGCTCACACACACACATACATACACACACACACACACACACACACACACACGGACTGTATAATTACAACATGAGGCAAATATTCTGAGGAAAAGAAACATGAGTCTCTGAAAGGATCTAGCAAAGGAAACTGACCTACAGTAGCAATTCAGGAGGTTTCCCTGTGGTAGGGACATTTGACCCCAGATCCAAAAGATGAGTAGGGCTTCCCAGGTGACTCAGTGGTAAAGAATCCACCTGCCGATGCAAGAGATGTTGGTTAAGTCCCTGGATTAGGAAGATTCCCTGGAGGAGGAAATGGCAACCCACTCCAGCATTCTTGCCTGGAACATCCCATGGACAGAGAAGACTGGTGGGCTACAGTTGATGGGGTCGCAAAAAGCTGGACATGACTGAACATGAGCATGAGTGAGCAAGCTAAAAGATGAATAGGGATTAACCAAGCATGTGTTTGTATGGGTGTGTGGGGTGAGGAGGGTATGATGAGAAGAACATTTCAGAGCCATGGATGAGCATACGCACAGGTAATGTAGCAGAAGAATATGGGGTCTAGTCAATGAAGTGAAAGGAAGCTAGCATGTTGGAAGCACGGAGCCAGGGAAGAGGGAACCAAGATGAGTCTGAAGAAATAGGCAGGGCCAAACTATGCAGTGCCTTGTGGACTCTGCTAAAGAGTTTGGTCTCTATCCTAAGAGCAACAGAAAACCATTGAAAGGTTTTATTCAGGCAGGCAATACAACCAGAGTTTTTTTTTTTTTTTAAAGATCACAGAAGTATCTAGGTGGAGAATGCAGCATCAAGGGTGGAAGTGGGGAGACCAGATAAGAGGCTGGGGTAATAAGGCAGGTGAGAGAAAATGGTAGATGTGGTCCTGAATGGCCTAATCAAGGAACTTGCAGTCAGTGAATAAATCAGCAAGGAATTACTCAGCATGAATCATCAAAATATGCACGCTAGCTCTACTCATCATCTTGAAGGGAGATTCATCTTCAGGCTCCCACCTCTCTTTTTGGCAGCCCAGCTTCTGTCCAATAATCAAGAATTCCAATGTAATGGAGCTGAGTTAATAAGGTGTTACTTTATTAGAAGTATTAGCATTTAAGGATATCTGGAGAAAGAATTGATTCAAGTGCTGTTAACTAGTGTTTTCATATCGAACATTATTTCTCAATCTGTGATCCAAAAAACAGTTAATGCCACAGAGTATCCTGGGGGTGGAGGAATGGGGAAGGGAGGCTTTATGAAAAATTTAACTCCTGGGCCCTACTTCAGATTCACAAAGCCAGAATTTTGTTGTGGGGCTCAGGAAAGGACATCCATGAACATTAAAGTTTGAAAACAGTAGTAGCATATGGAGGCCAATTTGGAGATTGAGTTTGAATAAGGAAAATACCTGTGACTGAGGAAAGGAGGGGGCATTGCAGGTTGAAGGTGGTCCTAAGAAAATGTCAAGAAGTAGAATCAGCCAGCTGAACACAAGGAAAAAGAGTAGTGAGTAGTCTGACTTTGCTAGGATGCGGAAGCTTTGATGGGAACAATGAGAAATCACCTTTAGTAGAAGGGAGAAGAGAAGGATTGTTGTTCAGTCGCTCAGTCATGTCTGACTCTTTGAGACCCCATTGACTGCAGCATGTCAGACTTCCCTGTCCTTCACTATCTCCTGGAGTTTGTTCAAACTCATGTGCATTGAGTTGAAGATGCCATCCAACCATCTCATCTTCTGTTACCCCCTTCTTCTCATGCCCTCAATCTTTCCCAGCATCAGGGTCTGCCTGGCTAAGAAAGGAGTCTTATCAAACCTGAGAGATATTAAATGAAGGGATTTCTATGATCCCAGAGTCACCAGATGAGAGGCCTGTGGGACTTCAAACTTGGAATTTCCCTCTCCCATGAAATAGAGGGAATGTTAACATCACTTACTGTTCACATAGCAACAATAGCCAACCTTACTGAGCTTGTACTATGTGTCAGGCATTTTGCAAAATATTGATATTTTAAATACATGGCATCATTTAATCCTCACAGCATCCCTATGAGTAGATACTATGCTGTGCTGTGCTTAGTTGCTCAGTCATATCTAACTCTTTGCGACCCCATGAACTGTAGCCCGCCAGGCTCCTCTGTCCATGGGATTCTCCAGGCAAGAATAGTGGAGTGGGTTGCCATGCCCTTCTCCAGGGGATCTTTCCAACCCAGGGATCGAACCCAGGTCTCCCACATTGTAGGCAGATTCTTTATTATCTGAGCCACCAAGAAAGCCCACGGTAGATACTATAATGATCCCCATTCTATAGATGAAGAGACTGAGGTACAGAGAGGGAAAATAACTTGCTTAAGATCACATAGCTGATAAGTGGTTAAACCAGAATTGGAATCCAAGTCTTTCTCTCCAGATTATACCTTTAGTTACAATGATGTGTTACTCACATTAGTTCTAACTTATTTAGAGGACTATAACATAGTCCTAAATAAGGGTGCCTTCCTTCTTTGGGACATGATAATCATTATGTATGATGGGAACTTGGCCCTGGAGGTCCAAAGACAATTCAGACCATAAGCAGGCTTGGCTAAGGCCTGGATAAGCACACCATCTCATGCAGAGCCCTTCACATCTTGCTTCATAGATTGATGATGGTCCATAAAGGTAAATGTAGCTGTTGAGAATGAGCCTTTAGAAATCTTATAGCAATTTTACAGAGTGCTGTTATGCCTGCTGATGTTCACCAAAAAAATGAGGGCTTTTATTTTTTTCATTATATTTTGTCTAGAAATTGTTATTATATTTTATAAAAATATATATAGACTGACAATTTAAAACAAATCAAACAAAATCATGGTTCTTCACTCCAGATGGTTTGTGATGTGTGGGTGTAGTGGATATAAGACAACTGTAAACAACTAACAATACTGAGGTATTCTCAAGCTCTGATGTGGGTGGGAAGCTGACTGGTAGAGCTGATCTGAACCTTTATTTTGACATGGCAGCCTCTTCTACTTTACAGAATCAACCACCTTGAGGATTATTATGACAGATTACAATGTGAAACAAGCCCTTTTCTGGTAGACATGTTCTTAGAGGTCATGCATTCAATTCTGGGCAATTACTGTCAGTTTAAACATTCAAGATGAAAGAAGGCAGTGTATAATTAATCAAGCAGAAGCGCATAGATTCTAAGCAGTAAAGATTCAATGGGATAGTAGATAGAACAGAGGGAAGAGGGAAGGGAACCCTTGTCATTTTCATTGATATTATCCCTAGAGCTTAGTTGTTCAGTAGTGTCCAACTCTTTGTGACCCCATGGACTGCAGCCCACCAAGGCTTCTCTGTTCATGGGGGTCCTCCAGGCAAGAATTACTGGAGTGGGTTGCCATTCCCTCCTCCAGGGATTATCCCTAGAGTCATATGTTAAAGAATCTTAAACACTTCCAATTTTGCACTTTTGCTAAAAACAGAGCAAGACAGGGAAGAAAATGATGCAGTAGCATTAAATAAGTCCTATTCCGGCACTGTTTATTTCCTCATTCATTCACCAAATATTTAATGTGTACCTATTACCTCCCTGCTTGGCACTTGTGGATACAAAGGTTACATCCCTGTCTTCAAGGAGGTCACAGTTTAGTAGGACAAACATGGAAGCAATTATAAAAACCTTGATAAGTCATAAAAGCACAATAATTCTCAAAGAGCTATATGTTTCAGAATTAAGGTGGGAGAGAAATAATTTGAAAGGTCATATCAGTATTCTATCACCTTATACACAACAGAGATAAAATAAGCATATTGGCTGGGAAAAACTGAGAACAGGAGAAGGGGGTGACAGAGGATGAGATGGTTGGATGCAATCATCGATTCAATGGACATGAGTTTGAGCAAAGTCTGGGAGACAGTGAAGGACAGGGAGGCCTGGTGTGCTGCCGTCCATGAGGTCTCAGGGAGCCAGACATGACTGAGAGAGTGAATAACAGCAACAAAAGACTGAAAATAAAGATCAGTAAAAGTTTGGCTGATGGGAGGGATAAGATGATGGTTATCCAAATTAGGAATCTGGATTCTCACTTGGGTGTGAATGTGTATTCCAGTGTCTTTGCAAGGAGCAGGGAAAAGGGGAGGAATGGCAGGACAAGCAAGACATTTACCCAAAAGGACCATACTTTTTACAAGTCAAGGAACTTCCCTGGTGGTCCAGTGGTTAAGATGCCAAACTCCTAATGCAGCAGACATGGGTTTGGTCCCTAGTTGGGGAACTAAGATCCCATATGGCTTAGGCACATGAGATGGTTGGATGACATCACTGGACTCAATGGACATGAGTCTGAGCAAGCTCTGGGAGATGGTGAAGGACAGGGAGGCCTGGAATGCTGCAGTCCATGGGGTCGCAAAGAATCGGACATGACTGAGTGACTAAACAAGAACAACAACAACAACAACAATGCCTTAGGCGCAGCAAAAAAAAAAAATCAAGAAATGTTTCTGAGTTTAGGTATAAAGAGAGACTATGGAAACTATGGAGGCTAAAACACTACCTGGGGTTGGAGGGAAGGAGACATACAGAAATGATGCATGTTGAGTCCTGAACATTCAGTAAGCAGTCAGAGTGTAAGAAGTAAGCAAGTAAGGCAGGGGAAGGCCCCTTTCTGCAGTGCATGGCCATCCCCCTACCTCCTTGGCAGTTAAAGGAGAGCATGTGCAACCTAGAGCAACAGTGGTGCTGAAAGTCACTATCTTTGAGGAATCTGGCATGTAGCACCATTGGTGCTAGGAACTCTGGCTTTCAAAGTCTGTGTGTGTGTGTGTGTGTGTGTGTTAGTCACTCAGTCATGTCTGACTATTTGTGAGCCCATGGACTGTCCCCCGCCAGGCTCCTCTGTCCATGGAATTCTCCAGGCAGGAATACTGGAGTAGGTAGCCATTCCCTTCTCCAGGGGATCTTCCCAACCCAGGGATCGAAGCTGGGTCACCTGCATTGCAGGCAGATTCTTTACCATCTGAGCCACCAGGGAAGCCCTTTCACAGACAGAGCATGATAACCTGCATAGACCTCACAGATCTATTCTGAGGCTCTAAGAAGATGCCAGAGTATTCTGTTAACTCTTAGGGAGTATGTGCTTGCGTGTTGACTCCCCTGGTACCCCCAAACCACAGTGAGGTTATCCAAAGCCCCAAGGATAAGCAACATCACTGATGTAGAAGGCACTAAGCCCCTCAGAAAGTTAGTATTTGGAAATATTAATAATAATGATCTACATCTGCTTCAATGCAAAGAAATAGAGGAAAACAATAGAATAGGAAGACTAAAGATCTCTTCAAGAAAATTAGAGATACTAAGGGAACATTTAATGCAAAGATGGGCACACTAAAGGACAGAAATGGTATGGACCTAACAGAAGCATAAGATATTAAGAAGAGGTGGCAAGAATACACAGAAGAACTATACAAAAAAGATCTTCACAACCCAGATAATCATGATGGTGTGATCACCCACACTCACCTAGAGCTAGACATCCTGGAATGTGAAGTCAAGTGGGCCTTAGGAAGCATCACTACGAACAAAGCTAGTGGAGGTGATGGAATTCCAGTTGAGCTATTCCAAATCCTTAAAAATGATGCTGTAAAAGTGCTGCACTCAATATGTCAACAAATTTGGAAAACTCAGCAGTGGCCACAGGACTGGAAAAGGTCAGTTTTCATTCCAATCCCAAAGAAACGCAATGCCAAAGAATGCTCAAACTACTGCACAATTGCACTCATCTCACACTAGTAAAGTAATGCTCAAAATTCTCCAAGCCAGGCTTCAGCAATACGTGAACCGTGAACTTCCAGATGTTCAAGCTGGTTTTAGAAAAGGCAGAAGAACCAGAGATCAAATTGCCAACATCCGCTAGATCATCAAAAAAGCAAGAGAGTTCCAGAAAGACATCTACTTCTGCTTTATTGACTATGCCAAAGCCTCTGACTGTGTGGATCACAATAAACTGTGGAAAATTCTGAAGGAGATAGGAATACCAGACCACCTGACCTCCCTCTTGAGAAACCTGTATGCAGGCCAAGAAGCAACAGTTAGAACTGGACATGGAACAACAGATTGGTTCCAAATAAGAAAAGGAGTATGTCAAGGATGTATATTGTCACCATGCTTATTTAACTTATATGCAGAGTACATCATGAGAAACGCTGGGCTGGATGAAGCACAAGTGAGAATCAAGATTGCCGGGAAAAATATCAATAACCTCAGATATGCAGATGACACCACCCTTATGGCAGAAAGTAAAGAAGAACTAAAGAGCTTCTTGATGAAAGTGAAAGAGGAGAGTGAAAAAGTTGGCTTAAAGCTCAACATTCAGAAAACTAAGACCATGGCATCCGGTCCCATCACTTCATGGCAAATAGATGGGGAAACAGTGGAAACAGTGCCTGACTTTATTTTTTGGGGGGCTCCAAAATCACTGCAGATGGTGATTGCAGCCATGAAATTAAAAGACGCTTACTCCTTGGAAGGAAAGTTATGACCAACCTAGATAGCATATTAAAAAGCAGAGACATTACTTTGCCAACAGAGGTCCATCTAGTCAAGGCTATGGTTTTTTCAGTGGTCATGTATGGATGTGAGTTGGACTGTGAAGAAAGCTGAGTGCCTAAGAATTGATGCTTTTGAACTGTGGTGTTGGAGAAGACTTTTGAGAGTCCCTTGGACTGCAAGGAGATCCAACCAGTCCATCCTAAAGGAGATCAGTCCTGGGTGTTCATTGGAAGGACTGATGTTGAAGCTGAAACTACAATACTTTGGCCACCTGATCCAAAGAGCTGACTCATTTGAAAAGACCCTGATGCTGGGAAAGATTGAGGGCAGGAGGAGAAGGGGATGACAGAGGATGAGATGGTTGGATGGTATCACCGACTCAATGGACATGGGTTTGGGTAGACTCCTGCAGTTGGTGACGGATAGGGAGGCCTGGCGTGCTGCGGTTCATGGGATCGCAAAGAGTCAGACACGACTGAGTGACTGAACTGAACTGAACTAAACATCTGCTTCTTTCTGATAATTCCTTTTTTTCAAGGCTTGACATCAAGAAAGCCCACACACCATGCCCTCTATTGTTGAAATTGGGCTGCACTGCCATGTGTATAGCTTCCAAGCATTCTGTTTCCAATTCAAAAGCAGTGAGTTGTGTGTTTGCTGTTTTAACTTCAATGAAAAAAAAACTTCCTGCCAAAATCTGCAGACAGAGACTTACATAAATATCACATATATACCATGCTCATCATCTCCTATTGTTTGAGACCATGTATGCAATATCAGATCATGATGAGCTATTGGTCACATCTGGCAGAACCCTTAGGAGACTTTGAGATTGGAATCTCTGGTGGAGCAGAGCTGACTGAAGGCACAAGACGAAGAGTGTAGTTTTTCTAAAAGTGAAATAATGGGATGAAAACTCTCAGCCAAATGTCTTCGAGTGCTCATGGTCCCTTACAACACAATTCCATTTCGTTGGCTTGAAAAGGCTGTACCTGTCACCAGGGTCTCCTCTCGATCAGTGGGCTCAGACCTGAATCAGATAAAAAGCCAAACCAGGCCTGACCCAGCCAGTCCCATCAAGGACAGAAGTGGGCAAGCCCAAGGCAGGGAGGGGTGGACAAAGGTACCAAGAAGCAAGAAGAAATGTTACACATCACCTTACATACCACTGCTTTTCCCACTCCTGGTACTTCCTGGAGTGGTATACGGATGAATTCATAGTAATTGTTAGCAATGGCAGCCAGGAGGTTTGTTTTGAACCATAACCAGGAATTAAGTAAAGAATCTGCCTTCAATGCAGGAGACCTGGGTTCAGGAAAGATCCCTTGGAGAAGGGAATGGCTATCCACTCCAGTATTCTGGCCTGGGGAATTCCATGGACCATATAGTCCATGGGGTTACAAAGAGTCAGACATGAATGAGCTAACTTTCACATCAAGCAAAGTGACCTCTGTGTAACTCAACTAGACTTTCCCCATCGCAAGCCCTGCCATGGCCTTCCCAGCTGTCCAGGCTTCAACCCATTTCCCCCCCCTCTCCATATTCTCTTGTCCTGTTCCTGAGTGCCTTGCCCAATTAAGTTCTTGTCTGGTCAATTTATTAGAGCTAAAACATGAATCATTGCTAAAGGCTTTACTTCTGAATGTGGGCTTTCTATCTTCAAAGAAAGAAGTAAATAGAGCAGCAATTAGGTGTTGCAGGTAAAGTGATGATCTACTTCTGGATTCTTCCTTGTATATTGATGGATTATATGGGCAATAGGGTGGAATTATAGCGTGGAATTTTCCACTGTGATTCAGAAGTACAATATAGACCATGGTAATATATTTTGCCTTTATCTCAGACCAAGAGAACTGAGAGAGTTAGACACTACAATTTAATATACCAAGATTAAAGCAATTATTGTAAATTAGCTTAATCATTCCTCCATATGCCTTCAGAAGCAGGGTTTTCTTTTTTTATTTTATTGTCACTACCAAAGAAATGGAGGCTTGTAAATACAGATAAACTTATTTTAAAAGGGTTTTCTGTGCTCAAAGTTTCTGATGCTTTTAATTAAAAATTTCCTCATTATATATCGGAAAGTGTGTTGAGGCAATGTGAGACACCAGGAGAGCATGAATGAAATATGGGAAGCAAATGATGGTGAACATGTAGCTGTCTTTTCATTTCATCCACATATATTTTATTCTAAAGACAGCAAGATCTACTCTTAGCATGGCCTCTAACTGACTCTGGAGCTCCTCAAGGCCAGAGAAGAGGGAGCAGCTTAAATGATTTTCTCCCTCTTAAACCATAGATTTTAGACTTGTGTTTCTGGAACACTCCAGCAAGAAATCACTAAGGGAGTGCTCCAGAAGATGGAGAGCAGTGCTTTTCAAGCTTTAATGTGCACACGAATCACCTGAGAATATGTTAAAATGCAGATTCTGATTCAGCAGTCTGGAGTGATGCCCAGAGTACTTTACTTCTAACAAGTTCCCTTGTGATATTGATGCTGTTTGTCCATAAAACATATTTTGAGTTGCAAGGAACATTCTAGATACAGAGTCTAGATACTGAGCCCCCTTTGGCTTGGAGCAGTGCACGTGTGATGAGGCAGTGGAAAAGTAGTACAGTTCTCTCTGGACCA